AGAATGAAAATTTATTTTCAGTGGTGGTACTGTGGAAAATTCCTAGTAAAGAACTGAAGGTTGGATTCCCCTTGCCTAATGGTATCTGAACAGATTTAGCAGAAATTTCTTTATCTACCAAGGATGAATCCAATTTGACCCCTGAAAAGACAGAATGTTTCTATCAAAAGCTTTTCAACAAGCATGGAGTTAAAATCATTTCTCAGATTATTCCTTTCCAGACTTTGAAAAAGGAGTATAAAGCCTATGAAGCCAAGCTTTGCCACCTGAATAGTTTTGATTTCTTCCTCACAGAGGAGAGGATCAGGCGGCTCTTATCATCGCACCTTGGGAGGCACTTCTATCAAAGAAAGAAAGTTCCATTAAGTGTGAACCCTCTGGCCAAAAACTTATCAAAAGAGATCAATAATTCTATTGGTAGAACCATCTTAAACATCTCAAAAAGTGGCTCTTGCAGTACTATATGCATGGGTCACCCTGGAATGCAGGACCAGCACCTCGTTGAAAATGTTGCTGTCGTGAAAAATTGCCAGAGAAATGGGAGAGTGTGACACTCTTGTTTGTGAAGACCAAGAAATCGATTGCCCTTCCCACCTTCTCATTTGTCAGCAGTCAGGGTGGAACCAAGAGAATATCCACTCCTATTCAGAAGAAAAAGAAGAAAAAAAAACAGGAAGGGAGAAACACAAAGGAAAAGAACATGAAAAACAGAAGAAGAAAGACAAAAAGTTAATGCAAGAGGGTAGCAAGGCTGCATCAGCCGGGACTACAGAATGATGTAGCACCAAAAACTGGCAGTGCCCCAGTGAGTAATCCTGGACCCCAGAAAGGAGCGGATACAGAACAGGGGGAGAAAGATTGGCCAAGGGAAAGCCCAACTTAAACTGAAAGACAAATCTGAAGATGAAATTCCAAAACTAGTACCAATAGAAGGAACTCCGGCTAGAGGAAATGTAGAGATGCAAACACATGGCACAGAAAAGATGTCTCCAAAAAGAGTTCCTGTCCCAGCACGCCTCGTGGAAAGAAAAGAAAGATGTTGCCAGCTTCAGAGACCCCCAAAACTGCAGAGCCGGGGACTCCAAGTAAAGGCCTGACTCCTCCAAGAAGCCAAAAATTGAAGAGATGGAAAGAGAAAAAACACCTCCACTGGGAAAAATAGACCCAAGGCAGACTCCAAAAAAAGCCTAGGGCCAAGTTCTTTGCAACTCCTAGTAAATCTGCAAAGAAATCTCCCCACCCCCCCCAAACAGTGGCCCCCAAAACCCGAAGTGCCCCAGTTGACCCAAAGTCAGTGAGTAAATCAGAAGGACGAAACATAGCGCATTTTAAGCATACTTCGTCCTGTCCCCGCTGTAGTCTTACCCAGGTCTGGAGGGTAATATGCTTATAAACCTCCACAGGTGATTCTGATGTATTTTTAAACTGGTCTTTGTGCTTGCTTATATACTAGAAGGAAAGGAAAGTAAAAAAAATAATAATTCCATTTCCATCAGAGGAATTCTCACCTTACATTCTTTTTTTTTCTTTCTTAAGAATTATTGATTTAACTTATTATAATTTTTAAATTTG